AAAAATGGGGGAAGGGGGGAAAAAAGGGGAGAAAATAGGGGAAAACGGGGGAAAAAGGGGGAAAAGGGGGGAGAAAAAAGGGGGGAAAAGAGGCAGATTTCATGGAACCTTCCAGATTTTTAGGAAAAAAGGCCAAAGGGAAAACAGGAGAAGGGAGATTTTATGGAATCTTCCAGATTTTTTCCCACAGATGAGATGGAATCTTGCTCCAATACCCAATTTTGGATATGGGGTAACAACTTTTAGTCCAAAAATTCCAAAAAAAAAAAATGCCAGGAAACCTAAAAAATCATGGATTGTGGGAAGAAGGATGGGATTTAAAGGATCAGAGAGAGGCAGATCCCATGGGATTATTCCAGAACGTTCCTCACCAGCGGATCCCGGATAATTTCCCGCCAGGAATGACAGACCAGGCTCAGGTTTTGGTACAGATCCAGCACCGGCAGGAGAGCAAAAATATTCCTGAGGATTTCAGCAGGAAGAGAATCCATGGATCCCTGAGGGAATTCCCAGTTCCGAGTGCCCAGGAGGCCGTAGTGGGAATCAGGAAGAGGCTCCACTTCCAGCTCTTCCCATTCCTGCTGGAGCAGTTCGGGAATTTTCTCCTGGGGTTCATCCCAAAGATCCAGCTCTGGGGTGGGAATTCCTGAGGGAAGAGGTCTTTTCCTGGAATGTGCAGTTGGAGGTGGCACGGAGAGCTGGGAATGCTGGAAAAAGCAGGAATCTGGAGGAGAAGGGGAACAGGGATCCGATGGATCCTCCTCGATCCCGTGGCTCCGGATCCCACAGAAATCCAGGATGCTCCTCTGCCGGCCGGGGGCTGCATGGGGGGAAAGCGGGAATGAATTCCATGGGAATCAGGGGATGGATTCCATGGAAATCAGGGGATGGATTCCATGGAAATCAAGGGATGAATTCCATGGAAAAGCAGGAATGAATTCCATGAAAATCGGGAATTAACTCCATGGAAATCAGGGAATGAATTCCAAGGAAATTGGGGGAGGAATTCTAAGGAAAAGTGGGAATGAATTCCATGGAAATCAGGAGACGAATTCTATAGAAATAAAGTAAAAATAAAATAAAATAAAATAAAATAAAACAAAATAAAAAAGAAAATAAAATATAATATAAGAAAATAGAATAAGATAAAACAGAAATAAAATAAAATAATAAAAAAAATGAAAATTAAAAATTCCATGAAAATCTGAAGGAAATAAAAGAATATAAAAATAAAAATATGAAACCCATGAAAATAAATAAGGTCAAACAACATAAAAATAATAAAATCAAACAAAACAAAATCAAAAAAAAATTAAAAATAGAAAAAATATTAAAAATGAAAATAAAAAATTAATGAAAATCTGATATAAAACAACAAAAAAAATCAGATTAAAACAAATTCAAATAAAATTTTTAAAAATGTAAAATAAGAAGGAAAAAGAAAATAGAAAGTAAAACTTTATTCAAAATCTGACATAAAACCAATGAAATAAAAAGAAAATAAATAATACAAAAACAAAACCATAAAAACTAAAAAATAATGGAAAATAACATAAAGAAATAATAAAACCTAATCAAATAAAATTTAAAAATATTTAAAAATAAAAATTAAATTAAAACATGAAGACTATCCCTTCCCTTTCCCTCTCTTTCCCATCCACATTTCCCAGAAAAATCCCTCGGCAGGGATTCAGAGCCTCCCAAATCCCAGAATCCTGGAATGCTTTGGGATGGGAAGGGAGCTCAGAGCTCATTCCAGGGACACCTCCCACCATCCCAGGCTGCTCCAACCCTTCCTTGGAAATTCCCAGGATTTGGGGCAGCCACAGCTGCTCTGGGAATTCCCAAATCCCACCCCAATTCCCCTTTTCCAATCTGGAGCCATTCCCTGGCTCCTGCCCCTCCAGGCCTTTCCCAAATTCCAGCTCTCCCGGAGCCCCTCCAGGCCCTGGAATGTGCTGGAAGCTCTCCCTGGATCCTTCCCTTCTCCAGGAGAACATTCCCAGCTCTCCCAGCCTGGCTCCAGAGCCTGATATTGGATCCATCTCCTCTCCAAGGAATTGATGGACCCAGGGCCTTCCCTTGCAATCTCAGGAAGCCACCAAGGCTCTCCCTTCCCTTTCCCTCTCTTTCCCATCCCCATTTCCCAGAAAAATCCCTCAGCATGGATTCGGAGCCTCCCAAATCCCAGAATCCCGGAATGCTTTGGGATGGGATCCAGGCACCTTCAATCCCATCCCATTCCAATCCCACCATTCCAGGCTGCTCCAACCCTTCCTTGGCCATTCCTGGGATCCAGGGGCAGCCACGGCTGCTCTGGGAATTCCCAAAATCCCACCCCAATTCCCCTTTTCCAATCTGGAGCCATTTCTTGTGTCATATCCTTCCAGGTCTTTCCCAAATTCCAGCTCTCCTGGATCCCCTTTATCTCCTGGAATGTGCTGGGAGCTCTCCCTGGATTCCAGAACATTCCCAGCTGCCTCTGGAGCATCCCAGAATTCCAGTGGTACCTGTGGAGCGGCTCCGAGGGCGCGGGATGGGACGAAGGCCGCGGATTCCTCGCTCCAGGCGCTGCGGCTGCCGCAACGCCGACGGAACCTCGGAGCTCTCAGCCAGAGCTCGGCATTCCAGAGCCGTCAGGTGCCTCCTCTTGGATCTCCTCATCCCAACTTCCACATGGAAAAACGGGAAAGGAAAAGATTCCCTGAAGTGAAAATTCCAAGGGAAAATCCCACCCCAAATTCCAAGTGAGAGGGAGCGAGGATGGGGAATCTGTGCCGAAAAATGGGATTTTCCCCGCGGGAACTCGGAGAGGCCTCGGTGTTCCAGCACAGAGATTCTCCAGAGGGATGGATGGGTTGGGAATTTGGGAAGGAATTCCTGGCTGGGTCGGAATTCCCAAAGCAGCTGTGGCTGCCCCTGGATCCCAGGAATGTCCAAGGAAGGGTTGGAGCAGCCTGGGATGGTGGGATTGGAATGGGATGGGATTGAAGGTGCCTGGATCCCATCCCAAAGCATTCCAGGATTCTGGGATTTGGGAGGCTCCGAATCCATGCCAAGGGATTTTTCTGGGAAATGGGGATGGGAAAGAGAGGGAAAGGGAAGGGAGAGCCTTGGTGGCTTCCTGAGATTGCAAGGGAAGGATTGAAAAAAAAAAAAACAAAAACAGAAAGGAAAAAATCCTGGCAAAAAAACCCAAAATCCGGGAAAAAAAAACCCAAAATCCTGTAAAAAACCAAAAATAGAAACCGAAAAATTCTGGGAAAAAACCCCCAAAATCCTGGCAAAAAACCCCCCCTAAATCCTGGCAAAAAAAATCCTCAAAATCCTGTAAAAAAACAAAAATAGAAAGCCAAAAATCCTGGCAAAAAAACCCAAAATCCTGGCAAAAAAACCCAAAAGCCTCAAAATCCTGGCAAAAAAAACCCCAACACAAAAAACCAAAATCTTGGCAAAAAAAACCCTCAAAATCCTGTAAAAAAAAAAAACCAAAACCCCCCAAATCCTGGCAGCTTTTCCTGCTTTTTTTCCAGCACCACCTGGAGGAAGCAGCTCCAACTTTGGGAATTCAAAGTGACTCCAAAGGAGCCTCAATCCCATGGGAAAAACCACAAGGATTTTCCCCAGGAAAGCAAAATCAACTTTCAACCACCCAAAATGAGCTGGGATCATCCGATTTTCCAGGGATTCTCCAGGAATTCTCCAGGAAATTTCACCCCTTTGCTGTTTAGGAGCGACACAAAATTATTCTGGGAATTATTCCCATAAAATTATCCAACTTTCTTTGGAATAGACACAAACTCCTCTCCTCTAGCCAGAAAAAAAATGTAATTTTTTCCCCTCCAAAAAACGCTCAGGAAAGAATTTTTGGGATATTTTTAGGAAAGTTTTGGGATATTTTTAGGAAATTTTTGGGAAAGGATCCAAAAGCGGCAGGAATTGCTGTTTCTGCCAGGATCAGCAGTTTTATTTCTGTTTCCTTTAATTTATTTCTATTTTAAAATTCTGCTGTAGCCACAAATAAAACCCGTTCCGTTTTGGATTGGATCCTCACAGGGCAGAATCCAAGGATCAGCCGGGTTATTCCTTGGGATAATTCTTGGATTTAATGATTTTAGGGATATTTTTCCCCCCCCAACCTGAACGATTTTATGGATACACTGCTTCTTCTGCTTCCTTTAATTAATTTATTTTTATTTTAAAAGTTTGCAGCGGCTCGATTTCATCAAAATACGGAAAACGAGGCAAATAAAAGGAAAATAAAAACCCAAAAACCCAAGAAAATCCCGTGGATTTTGGGAATGCGGAGGCTTTGGCAGCGCTGAGGGAATGGCTGGATTCGATCACCAATTTATTTCGAAAGGATCCGAGGACGGGGAAAGGAAAACTCCACAGGGACGAGAAATATTTGGGAAAAAGTTGTTCCAAATTTTCCCTCAGAAGGTTCTTTCCAAACGCCTTAAACCCCCTTATTCCCAATCCCGCAATTCCAAGGATTCCCCCATTCCCAAGGCTCCCCTCACGCCAGAGGAGCTGCCGCTCCCAAGGTCCCCTCCATGCCCCGCAGTGCCCAAAGCCCCTTGAACATCAATCCCCCGCCATTACCGAGGATCCCCCTCAGTGCCAATCCCAATTCCAAGGATTCCCTCATTCCCCAGAGCCTCCACATTCCCAAAAAAAACCCATTTCCAAGGAAAACCCTTCCCGCCCCCCCCCGCGGTGCCCAAGAATG